GAGGAGGAGTGAGGACAGGAGCCAGTGAGAAGGAAACTGATTTTCATTCATCCCGATGGCTTGTCTGCACAGGAGTGAGTACTCAGGAAAATTAATCTAAAATTAAAAGGAGGTATGATTTCAGAGTGGATTAGTCGAAGTGCACACAACCCACCAGGTGGCCACTCTTGCTCAGCTTTAAGTCAGCTCTCATTCAATTTAGCCAAAATGAAGTGGGTTAAATCAAATTAAAGTCTCCTTAGCTCCGAAAGCCAATGTGAGGCGGGGCGAGGGGGGAGAACATGCAGTTTAAGGGTGCTAATTCGGGAGAAATCTGGTGATGCTCCCCACACAAACAAGCCCCCAAATATTATATTTTGTACTGATGCCAACCAAAAATCAGTGATGGGGCACATCTGCCTCCCCAGATGATGCTGGCCTTTCCTGATCCCTGCAGGTGGGAAGCTCTGCATTTGGTGTCCCATCAGCAGCTCTTGCTGCTCGCTCAGTTTTTATCCTGGAGAAAGGCAGGGCGATGAGACGGCAGTGGATGGGACCCTCTGCTAGCTGTGCCACGCACCAATTCCCAGTCCCGTGTCAGCAGAGGTGGGTTTGCAGGTCCACAGCATCCTTTATGGGTGGCACAGGGAGACTGAAGTCAACGTCTCACCTTCTTCTCCAGCTGGCCAGGCTCAGATTTGGGTTAATACCGAGCAAAATGAGGAAAGACACAGCCCTGGGTACCCTGCTGGATGAACCTCCTCCAGCTGCCCCACCTGATGCCACTCAAGCTGGGTGCCGTGCATCGGCCGTGTGTCTAGAGCTGCTCCAGGAGAGATGAAGGCCACAAGGGTTTTGCAAATAAACGTCACCAAAAGCAAAGTCACCAGCCTCTGCTGGAGGATGGCACTAGCTGGAGGCCCTATGGGTGGGAAAACAAGAGGGGAAACACCTAATCTAGAGGAATACGGAGGGAAAACACCGAACCTAGAGTAATAAGATCTCAGGTTCATCACAGACAGCTCCAGGGCAAAGGAAAAAAAAATGTGGCCGGGCATCTGTAAGGTCACTTTGTGCTGGCACCGCTGTGGCACTGCGCAGTGCTGTCCCCCTCTTCGGTGCACCTCCCTTTCCTCCCCTCCTCCCCGAAGATTTACAGCAGGAATCGCCCTCCCGTGACAGCCTCTGCTCGCTCCCACCACCGAGGCTTTTGGCTCCTGGAGCCTTGCTCGGGGGCAGGCCTTGGAGGATGCTCGCCCATTTTGAGGGCAAAAAGGGCCAGCGGAAAAGCGATGGCGAGGCGGTGATAAGACCCGCGGCCTCGCCCTCCTTTGTGCGCCCAGCGCCTTTGGTGAGTCACGCTGCCAGCCCAAATTTACGCCCTCGGCTCTGCCCTGCTCCAGCCAGCCAGCTTTAATTTTTAACCTTTTCGGGGTCGTGAATCCCATTCGCCTTCCCCAGCCCCATCACACGATGCCCAGCACGGAGGTGGTCGCAGAGATGATGAACTGGACTCATCTTTGGCCCTCTGAGGTTCAAAGGTGGTGGAGGGTGCTGTGATAAGTATCCAAAGACAAAAGGAGACACCTCCAACAAGCACTGGTGACCTCCTCAAACATCCCAGCCTCCCTCAGTAAAATTTGGGGTGATTCCTAGTTAAATACAAACTGCATCACCTTCTGCTTTTGCTGCTTGTTTGGGCTGTGCCTGGGGACATGTTGCTGTGCAGACACTTCACGGGGCATCTGCAAACCTTCACTGACGTTAAAGCCACCACCAGACGTGTCTCCAAGACAACTTTTTGGACTTTTTTACTTTTAAGACAGCTGGATGTAGCCCTCTGCCGTGACCAGTCCCCTCCACGACCTTGGGTAGCCAGGGTTATGGAGCCAGCAGCCCGGAGATTTCCTGTTAGCACCGCGAGGAGGGCTCCACATTTCCTTGAGATCCTTTGTGTCTTGCTGCTATTTTGGGTCCCACCTTTTTTCTTCGGCTCCCCACCCACACCTCCCTCAGGGTGGGGTCTTCCCGGATAATTCGGCGCTCTATATATACACACACACACGCATATATGCATGCATGGACATATATTTATATAGCTGTGCATGCGAGCTGAGCCTTCGGGTGCTGGCTGGACACAGCGCTCTTGGCAGGAGGCTCAGGGCTATTCTTTAGGTGGGGAGAGCCTAGGAAGGGAAGGACACAGCTCACCCTCCCTCCTATTCAAAACTATTTAAAGACTGTCTGGCACGGAGCTGTTTTCCCACCAAATGGCTCCAGTGACGATCTGGCTTTAAAGCCGTGTAATCAGATCAACATCTATTGTTGGCAAATTCGTAATTGCCTCATTATTTAACTATCCAGCAGCAGTTAGTTTAACAGGGAAAAAAAATAATATACGTTTTAGCTTTTTTTTATATTAAGAGCATCGGGGCTCAGTTTCCATCTGAAGAAGTTTTGTTCTTCAAACTCAACAGCTCCTGCTCTGTCCATCCTTAAAATAATACACACAATCACAGGGATCACGGATGAAATGTGTAGACAATGAGAGATGATCTTTTTCAGTGCTGTCCTAATGCGGGCCAGCATATTTTTTACCCAGTGGTGCCTTACATAGAGCCGCGAGCAGCACAAGAAGAGGAGTCCTGACCATTTCCCTCTAAGAGGAAGGATGCTCTTCTAAGAATGATGCCCTGGCTCACATCCTTGCTCTGCCACAGCCCTCCAAAACAACCCTGGTGACATTTCTTAACCTCCTTCCTCAGTTCTCCCCATCCCTACATGCAGAAGGGGATAGATTTGGGATGGAGGAGCTGTCTTCATTTAGGGGCTGGCCCAGCACCTTGCTACCCGGGGCCCCAATCTTGGTTAGGTGCCACAGCAATACAAATAATTACTAATACTAGTCCCCATGAGAGTCTATTACATTATAGTTCAACTTCCTCCCAAACAATTGCTCCTCTTCCTTGCTTTGTATGTTCTTCAAAAGAAGCGGCTGCTGTGCTTTAGGGCTGGGACACCAGCGGAGGTAAACATACACCCAACGTTCCTGCTCAGCTGGGCCTGGGCAGCGAAAAAAAAAGATAAATCTGATTTAAGACAATCGCATTGTGGGCAGGAAAAAAAAAAATAAATTGGGGGGTTCAATGGAAAGAGCAACCTGGCAGCACTAAACAGAGTTTATCCTGAGAAGTCCCTTAGGGCATATTTATTCACTATTTACAGGATGATCGTGTTCAGAATGGCAATGAGAGCAAGAAACATCAAGAGAACAAGTGCCCACTGGTCTCAGGACCCAAAATATCTTCATCCGTGGAGCAGTGAAGGCTGCAGTCCTGGTTCCCACACCAGAGTGAAGGGAAGTAGAGCTTTATGGTGGACGTACAGCTTGCTGGCAGAGTGCTTGGGCATTTCTCTCCTTATGTGCCTGTACCACCCAAAAGGTGCATAAAGGGAAAGATAACCCATAAAAAATGGGCAGAAAAATTCCCCTTGTCCACAGCCAATCCTGGGCTGAAGTTGGTCCATCCACTAGGTATGAGGGCCAGGAAAATTGTCCCATGTAGAGCATACAGGGCATGGAAAAACCCCAATGCTGTAGGTTTAGGTGCAATACAACACTGGGAAGCTGGGACACCAAAATATTGAGTGTCCAACAAAAGCAGGGCTGGCAATGCAGACTGGCCATCCCAAAATGGTTTGAGCTGGTGCATGTTAGAGCAGAATGGGTTCTGGGTGGAACGTCTTGAGGGCCTTGGGTCCTCCTCCAAGCAGCTAGCTTGCTCTGAAAAGCATGTTGGCACATCTCCGGGGAGGTTTTCCCATTGCCAGGAGCTTACACAGCAAGCAGCGAAGGTGGAAAAGGAAGAAGGCTCTTGCTAATAAGTTGGCCAAGTGTCCTGACTTAATGTTGATGAAGAACAATGCACGTTTTGGTCACCCCTTCCAAGAACCTGCAACAGCTTTAATGAGTCAAATCAGATGTGGCTTTGTCATAGGAGATGAGACACAACCAGGACCAGCCAGCTGGGTTCTTGGCTGCTGAATGACATTGTCTTTCCAGCCCAGTGACCTCATTGTTATGACTCAATAGGGGAACAATGTTGTCCTCCCAGCAAGGAGTGGGATTCCTGCGTGGTTAGAGCTGAGCAGAAGAGCTCAGCAAGTTGTAGGATGTCACTAGGTCAGGGACCCAGCATTTTGCAAGCAGTGCAAGCAGGCTGTGGTGGGTTTTAATGGCATTGTTGTGTGCTGAGAAACATAATGTATAACACAAGTATAGCATGCAACAGTGGCCATATTCAGCTTCCTCAAATCCCTGAACAGGTAGGTCTAGGTAGTGGGTTTGAGCATGCAGAGACTCACCAGTCAGGGAGAAAAAACACTAAATGGTATCTAATAGAAAGGAGAGCTTGCAGTACCCTGACTCCTGGGGCTCTGGACCTGCACCCGTGTTGGATTTGGAGCTCAGGGCTTTGCTGACATGGCCCTGCCACCAAAACCCTTCTCTCTCCTGGCTGCAAAGTGGCACAAGTCTGGAGGTCACACGTCAGGGCAGGCCATGGCAGGGCAAGGGAAGGGAGCAAAGGAAGCAGGAAGGAAGAAGGAGCTGCATCCCCTCCCTGCTGTTAATCATCCTCCTCTTTCGCCTTAGCCAGGCTGGCAGGTCTGTGAGCACTGAGCTCCTACCTTGGAAGGGGATCAGGGATGGGACCCACAGCTCTGGGCACAGAAGGGGGACGTGGTGCTGGGCTTGATAATAATATCCAAATTACTCCGCTGCTGCTATGTGAACAACCCCATCGTGCTTGCAAGAGACAGCAGAAACTATTCTACCCTATGAGATACAAGAAAAACAGTATCTCTGATTACAGAAAGACAGAAAAGACAATTTAAAATTCCCACCCAGACTCTAAATCCACCTTCAGAGAAGCACCACCAGCTCCTCCAGGTGTATCTGGTTATTATTATCAGGGCAAAATATCCTTTGACTCCAGCTGGGGCAGCTCAGAGATAAGGCCTCTGACCACAGAGGCAAGATAGAGTTAAGGCATCAATCAAAAGCAAACAGTGACTTTTAGCAATGCTTGGGAATTGTTGTTATTAAATAATTAACAACTAGCAAGACAGTGTACTCCAGACACCGCTCCCTGGGCCAAGTGTGCTTCTGGCCTCTGTTAGCTGTGGCCACTCAGCACATGGGCACCCCTGCTTGTTCCCTCCATCACCCAGACCTTTCTACGTGGGCTACAGCATCATGGATGAGAGGCTGAAGTGCTTGAAAGGTGAGAAATAAAAGCACCAGGTCTTTCACCCTGCAAGCTGCTGCACAGCACAGCAACAGAATAAATGAGACATGTGCCCTGGAAGCCAGGCATTGCCTTTGGAGATGTTGGACACAGCAGGTCACAAAATCACAGAATGGCTGAGGTGGGAAAGGACCTCTGGAAACCATCTGGTCCAACCCGTTATCAAGCAGTGCCACCCAGCACAGGCTGCCCAGGACCACATCCAGCTGGTTTTTGAAGATCTCCAAGGAGGGAGACTCTAAAACGTCCCTGGATAACCTGTGCCAGTGTGTTCCAATTTGTATCCATTGCCTCCTGTGAGTGGCCAAGTCTGCTGCCTGTGGGATTTGGACCAGCTCTCCCAAACAGGAGAAGAATCACACAGGAGAGAAACAAGAAGGGGAAACGAGAGGGATGAATGCACCTGTGATGGAGATGAGCTTGGCACCAGGATGCCAAGCACCTCACTGCTACATGCACACATAGACTCTTGCTTCAAGGGAGCTGGCTCACATCCAGACCATCTCCAGCTGGACCAAAAGCTGATATTTATTGCTACAAAACCAATGTATCAGTCCTAATTTATGCTATCAAGGAGAGGGAACCTCCTTTCCCCAGCCTTGGTAGCTTCATGGTAGTGGCTATGGGTTGAACGTGGCCAGGACAATTTGCAGCCTTTGGGCTTTGGGAAGTGCAGCAAGGCCTAGGTGGCAAGCTGCTATAGCAAGCCATTCCTTATCATTTCAGGTGAGAAATATGGAAAATCAGCCCATGGGCACCTCTCAGAAAACTGCCTTTTGCAGCAAAGGGCAGTCTTGCTGCTTAAAACAAGAGCTGAGATGCCTGAGGTTGTTATCTGCTGCAGTTGTCCCTGTGAAAATATTAAATGAATTTCATATTGTCCCTGTTCCCTATGAAATAAATTCCTGCAGCAGGAATACCTTTACCTACTTCAGAGGCAGGCTGTAAGCATCTGCTCCTGCCAGACTGGGGCAAAGGCAAAATCTTATTACCCCTTGCTCTCTCCTCAGTTCAGACTGAGCTGAAGTCCCTATAAAAACAGCTCACAGGCTGAACTTTCCTCACCCTCCCCTTCCCCAGCTGAGACGGAGATAAAGCTCTGCCCCTAAAACTGCTTCTGAGCTGGATTAGTGGGAAACCCCTCCCCAAAAAGCCAGCTGGGTTGGGGGCAGCCCTTGGCGCTGCTCATGGGGAAAGCAGCTTATGTCCCCGCAGATTGGAGCAACCCTGCCAGCGCCACAAAATGCTCTCCTGGAAGACAAAGCAGAGAGCTGTCACCCGATTCCTCCAGCTCAAACACACACACAGCCCCAAAATTGCTGGGATTTCTTTGGCATGGCTGTCCTGTGAGTATTTCTCATCAAATTCACAAGCTACATGTGAATTTAGTGAGCTACAAAATCTGTATTTTTCCAGGGGCTTTTTGCAGGTTTTTATTGTGACTGTTATTTTTTTTTTTTAAATCTGCCTAAAAGTATTACTGAGATACTTAGAGCCACAGCAGCCCTCCTCTTGGGGCAGGACACTGCAGGTGTTTGCAGGTTAGGGCTGGAAGCATCTCCATGGTCACAATGCCAAAAAAAATAATCCTAAAGGCAATTAGAAAGGGAAGCTGGCAAAGCAGAGTGCAATCACCCAGCATCAAAATTTTCCTTCCTTTTCTCATCCAAAATGCAGCAGGACCTCAACAATCACCACCTCAGAGCTTAGCATCTTTGGGTTTTGTCCAAAAAACATCTCTCCCTGTTCCTCCCTGCTTTGTCCCCCTAAAAGCACTGTGCCGTGGCTCTCCCCCCAGTGATGTGGACGAGACACCGTAATCTCCGTTTCTAATGGGATCAGGGGAAAGAGAGCCCTTCTCCCCCAGGGGCTGCTATGCCACCAAAAACCCTTTAACCAACCCCAAAACTTTACCCTACGCAGTTGTCAGTTACCCGTGGCCAGGCTTCATAGTAATACAAAAGAGCTGGATTTTCATTGTAGTTAACAGAAAAAACAGCTCTTCCCTTTATCATATTTCTGCATTTCTCTCCCCAGCTCTTTATAATGAACATTACTGGACCCTACAAACCACATACCGCCTGTAAGGCAGCACATCTTGCTACAAACCCAACCTCAGGTGCCCATTTTTCACTGACCCTTTCCCACCTGGCCACCCTTCCTCTCGTTGTGCTACTTACTTGGCCAAAAGAATAGTTTTTTCCCCCAATTTGGCTGTCCTAAATTACCCTTGCCAGTTGAAGCCATGGTTTGGGGGAACCCTGACATAAGGAACATAGATCCTGATGGGTGATAGGCTTTGTCCTTGGTCACAAAGCCCCCAGAGGTAGAAATATTGGCCCTCAGGAGTTATTAACACCACCCTAGCTGCTGTCAGCTTTCTCCTTGTTGGAAAACCTCACAGAAAAAGGGTTTTAGGGTGAGATGGTGAATTATAAGCCAGCCTATGGGCCTGAGGAAACACAAAGCGAGGCCTGCAGGATCTGGGGCAGGGCCTGAATGGTGTTAGTGTATCCTCCACCTTGAGTTGGGCCCATCAGACAACTTCAGCAGCATTAACTTGGGCTCTTAGCAGAGGCAGATGCCTCCATACCATGGAGGAGCTACCCCAAAGCTGCCACACGTACATGTGGAGCAGTGAGGGCAGGAGGAGCAACCAAAGCCATCTTGGCAGCAATGGCCATGCTCAGCATCTGCAGGCCTAATGAAAACATCCTTTGAGAGAGGCCTCCTATGGTGAGGGGTTGAGGATGCTGCAACAAGGATGTGTTGCTCGTCAAGTTGTTCTTTTTGTGTGATTGTTGCCTCAAACAGTAATGTTTTAGTTGTCAGGCCTGCTGGAGAAAGTGCTCTCTAATGGAGGATCATCAGGGATATGTATCTAAATGGGCTGGCTGAGGGCATCCAGGCTCCAGCAGGTTTTGCAGAATTGTCTATTACCAGTGTTTTACTTTAGAAAGAAGAGGGGCAATTGAGGTTTCTGCTCCCCGGATTCCCAAGATGGGCATGCAGCATGGAAGGATGGAGGTCCACTAGGATCCGCCAGGCTACATAGCTCTCCTGGGCACAAGGAAGGTTGCTCCAAGCTGGCGTTGTCCCATGGGGAAGGAGAATCTGCACTGCCATGGGCCACAGTCTTGCAAAGTCAGGTCTCTTCTTAATTTCTGAAAGGCCAAACTTGTCTTCTAGCAGCTAAGAGGAAATTAAATATATTGTATTAGGTCTAAACCCAAATGTGATATCCATGGCACTTGAGGAATTTGGATTTTCGGCACTAAATGGGATGGGATTTGGATCTGGGTCACAAAGTGGGCAGCAAATTAAAGAAAGTCTCCTAAAATCTTGGTTTTCTTTCCTTTAGTTTCTGTTTGCCCTCACCATAGGCAGATATCCAGGGTACCCAGAAACCAAGCGTGGGGTTCTTCTGCCTTCAGTTAGGTGGTCAAATGTTGTACATATAAACCCCGGCTAGCCATTTAAAATCCCTCTGCATATCCTGGAAAGACATTTTCAGCCACGCCATCAATGGTTAATTCTAAGCTGTGAAAGCAATTGGGAACTGGCAGCTGAAAAATAAAATTGCTTCCTCTCCCATTTTAAACAGTAAAAGTGAGATTTAAGAGAATGACTCCTGTTTATTCAAAACCCTCCAGGGACACGAAACAATTCATTTCAGTCACTAACTCCATCTAAGATTGACGCTTGAGATTTGCTCAATAAACTGCTTGGTTTTAACCTCAAAAGCACGTTGAAAAGTTTATATGCTATGTATTCAGGACCTTGGATGCTTGATGTATTTAAAGGAATTTAAATGCTGCTTTGCATCTGTCAGTTTAACAGAAATTTCATCCCCGAGTAAAGAGTGATTGCCTGCAACAAGCCCAAAATTAGTGTTATTCATCATTACCTAGGAAGACTTCAAAGATGAATACATTAGAAATCAAAATAGAGCTGTGGCAGGCTATATAGCTGCTTAAATAAATATGTTAATAGTGTGTCCACCTGGATGGAAAATACAGCTGAAAGGTAAGAGTGGGCCGTAAATCTCCATGTTTTACAGTGAGCAACCAAGGGGAATCAACCTTGCTTAAGGGATATAGCTATGAATTGGAAATGAAAAGCATGGTTAAAATCAAATCATTCAAATTAAGACTTTATGCTTCCCTATTTTAAATCATGATTAAAATTCATAATTTAAGCCACATCGATTTAAATCAAAGCACCCTGCCATAAAATGAGGTTTTGAACCCTGTGTGAGGCTTTAATGAGAAAAGGGACGTTCTCCTGTTGCATGCCGTTAATAAGGATTCATTGCTACCTGGAGGAACTATCTTAGAAGCCTACAAAATTGCAGAGATTGTGGAGAGGTTTTTCTAATCTGTCCCGGAAAATCTTAAGGAAAAAAAGTAATTTTCTATACTAGGGTGTTGTAAGAAGCTCAAAACTTATTTTTCCAAAATATTCTACATGACTGTTAGAGACAGGAAAATTTATCACCTAAACCAGAGGTCAGCATCTCTCACTGAGTTTTTGGCATGTGAATTATCCCAAGGCTCGGGTGAGAGTGGCAGCAATGATCTTGAGAACCACCAAGGTGTGCTGAGATTAAATCCTGCATGCCTGAAAAATGGCGCAAGAGTGTGATTTTTGCTTGCTGTACCCACAGCCATGTCCTGTTTTGCTCATGTTTTGCCCTGGTTGTCTTTTGGCCAAGTCAGGCTTTATCAGAAGCCCCATGGCTGGTGTGGGCACATCGTATTTACAGCACATTGTGTTGCTGCAATCCAGCTTTTGATTGCCACTGGTGATTTTGGTGTGCTTATGGCATTGCTTTAATTTGGCATCAATCCATGTTCCCTTTGATGGAGGAATTTGCCCCTGTGAGAGCACTAACACTTTGCAGCAGTGTGTCAGGCCAGATCAGGGAATTGATCCATCTGAAAACAAACCCGATATTATTTAAAAAAAAAAAAAAAAAAAAAAAGGTGATTATTTCCTGCATTTACTGAGAGCTATTACTTTCTTCACCTTGCCAAGAGAAACCTGTGGGGAAAACAAAACAAAACAAAACAAAACAAAAAACAGAAGCAGGCTCTGAAACCAAATCAGGTCACCAGCAGCTAGAGAGTGAGAAGATGGCTAAAAAAATGCGTGAAAGAAAAGGCCGGGTTTGAAATCACGCGATTGCCATCTCATTGGAAGAAGCTCGATATTAGCTTATCTAGTACTTGCTAGAAACTTGCTTCCCTTAACCATGTTTTAAGTAACTCTTGTATTGCTTAATAAATTATAAATGTCCAACATGGGCAATTTTAATTGCTTATTTAGAATATATATATTTAATAACACTCTTCAGAAGCTCTAAGTATACTTGCATACCATCAGCGATAATGCTAAACCTCAGATGCAATGAAATTAGCAGAAAAATAATGTATGTTTTATACTGATCACAGACCTTTAACCTCATGTGAACCCTCCATTACAAAATGAAGAGCTTTCTGCAGTTCAGCTGGGAGGGTGACTTCTTTTAACAGAACCCATTCAAATATTTTTTTTTCTTAAATTCTAAAACAATCGATTGAACATGTTTAATCACACCCTTCAAATGTATACGGTTCCTCAATAAGAAAGGTACAGAACAGCTGAGGACCACAGCAGACGTGCTGACACCCTCCTGTGGAGCATTGCACAGCTCTAGGAGGCACATCGTGGCAGAGCCACTCATGGATCCATTTCAGCTGCTGGTACCGCCGCAACTATTTGCAATTATCCAGGGAAAAGTTACACCAATATAGCCACTTCTAATTGCATCTCTGCTGGAGAACACAGTGCATCGCTTTAACTACTCTGCTTTTTCTCACGGTCGAGGAACACAGTGCCTTGATAAGCAACATGTAATAGCCACCCTGAAAGCTATCCATTTTCTGCAGGCTGCCGCAGTATCACTGAAACTTTTACTTTTTTTTTTTTCCTCGTTTGTGTACGTGGTGGAATGTCTTATCTCACCCTCCTGCCTTTAGAGTCCGGGGGGAAAAATAAAAACAACATTTTTGCTATTATGCTTCAAAGAAGGGCTTTCTCAAACAGTTTCTCTAAACCCTTCTGCAAACCCTTTCAAATCCCCTTTGTCGAAGTCAGGAATCTGGCATTTTCTCTTTGCCTGTGTCGAGCAGAAGCCACTTAGAATAAATGCCTGACAAGCGTGTCTCCTCCTTTCTTACAATAGCCAGCATGGAGATTTAATGTATCTTTAAGTACTGCAGCTTAAGAACTCTAAGCCAATTTCTACCTTCTCCTCTAGTTAAATTTACTAAAATCAATTAAGGCTGAGAGAGAAAAATTCAGCCTTTATTTTTTAATAACTATGGCTTTATTCTAACACTGCAGAATGACCTTCCTCCTCTCTTTCACCAGTCTCATGAGCCATGTGCTATAAGACCGAAGACTCCTGCACATAGACTTTGCAATACAGAGAAAAATCTGCTGGATTAATCCAGCTTTTATTGAGGATGCTAATATGTCTGCAATCTCTAAAATGGGAACAACTCAGAAATAAAACTTTACCTTTTCAATTTTGGAGATTTTAACTGTTTCTGAGGCATCTGTCCTGCACCTGGCCGCAAACACAGACTTCTTTTAAACCCAAAGACTGCTCTTCCTATCTCCCCTTCCATGTTGCAACCTTTATGTTGTACACCTAAAACACCACCAAGAAGTTCTTTCAAATCCCCAAACCTATTTTTTTGGCCATTTTAAAGCAGATACTGTTATGCAATGTAAGGGTTTCCAGGGACGGATCCTGGACACTTTTGGTGTAACATCAGACCCTGAAGAGGACCGTGCATGGACACAAGCATCTCTAGTGTCCAAACCATCCCAAGACACACCTGAATTGCCTTCAGAAGATGCCTCTGCTCTTTCCATTAACAGAAGCTGGATTCAAGGACAACTCAGCTCCAACCCTAAAGACCTTGGTTATGTATCTGAGCCTACTTGGAACTCATCTGGGTCCTTCAGGTGGAGAAAAAGAGCAACTTGGGCCCATTCCCTCCCCACTGCCCCGTGCACTTGAGCAGTGCCTCTGGGGATGGTGGTGGCCCCAGTGCTTCATCAGGCTGCCTTGCACACGAACGATGCAAATCACAACCCGGGGAGTGCTGCGTGTTTAGAGGCTGCCTTCCTGCAGCTTCTTTATTGCATATGCACATCTAAAATCAGGTGCTTCGGCAGAGCTGGGGGCTCTTTCCCATTCATTAGCCCTTCTGCTCTACGCTGGGCGTCGAGGCATTGCACGCAGTTAATTTCAATAAGTCGTTTGCATTCTCCCTGCCTCCTTGCGATGCTTTGTCACCGAGCTGTCACCAGCAGCACACACAACACTGAGCAGCCCTGGCTTGTGGCCAGGAAAGCCGTGACACGTACGTTATTTACGGGACGGGAAAGGTGCCTGCAGCACGTGGAGCAGCACATGCTGCAAAGGCACAAAGATTTGCAAAAAAAGCAGACAGATGCAGCGATCAGAAAACTTCAGTGACAAGACTCAATAAGTGAGCGGTCAATGGAGGATTTTGGTGCCTTCAGGGTCTGGAGCAACTTAGTTTTCTCTCTTGAAAGCCAGAGGAAATTGTCTTGGTCAGGTTGATGAGGCGTCCTGGCGTTTGCTGGTTCCCAATGGCTCTCAGCAATATTCAGGAGCTAAGGCTGACTCTGAGGCATGCAACGACTTAATTCAAGAGAACCTGTGCATGCAGCCACCTATGTAGGTCATCCCAAACATCCCACCCCAGAGCTCTGCACTCCCAGCAGGCAGTAATGTTACTATTGGTATTTCCCAGGACTACCCAAAGCACTCACTGGTCCCAGCACTATTTGCAATTCAAAGCAGGAAGCTAAATTGAAGTGGTCTAAGTCACCTTTGAAGGAGCCCATCCCTTCACCTTGTCTCTGGAAGGAGGTGAGGCCACCAATCCTACCCACCAGGAAGTTCAGAGAGAAGAAAAATATTAGCACATCAGCACGGTCACAATGTAAAGGAGTGTTGACAGAGCAAAGTCAACAGCTCCTCTTCATCATTGGGCTGAACTCCAGATTTACCAGATGCCACGATAAAATCCCTTGAAATATGCCGTGAGACTTCTCCACCTTCCCCTTATGCTGCCAGGGGATAGCTTGTGGCCATGGAAAGCTGCTGTTACATTTCAGCCAAGACTTTGTCGGTGCTGTTTGTACTGCAGTGGCCCTGGAGACCCCAGGGAGGGCATCTCCCTGTCCCTGAACACTCACCATGGGGTCTCTCCAAAAAATAAGAAAAAACATAAAGAAATGACAGCTCGGCCAGTCCTTACACTGCATATTAGCAGATCACATATGATTTTTGTACAATGATGGGGAAGTTTATCTTTTTCTTCCTAGCCTTTTCCACCTTCTCACAAAGGGCTGTTTGACTCCAAAGTAACATGGTTTTAGATTTACGCTAGCCACAGCTCAGGCACCTCAAAAGTGGAGCTGTGATATGGGGAGAACACTTCCCTTCTGCCTCCTCCCAGCTCTACCTGGGGCTACATCTTCCTCAGGGACCTCCAGAAAACCACCACGAGGCTTTAGCCCAGTGCTAGAACAGGAAAATAAACAATTGGAGCCATTAACACCCGATGAAGCTAAGATGAGCTGCCTCCCTCCTCCCAAATAATGAAGGAAGCAGCACGAGAAAGACCCTTGGGATGTGGGACACCATCACACCAGTCAGTTTGGGGAAAAGACAGTGATTTTTTGGTCAAGCACCAACAGTGCATGGAAGGGCTTCTGCGTGAGACTGGAGGTACATCCCCAAACCCCACCATGCGGTGGGACCCCCAAAAAGAACCAGGCTCAGCTAACCACATCCCAAAATCCCTGTGGTTTCAACCCCAACAGCTCTATTTTATGGATATTTATGTTTTATTGAGCATGAGCCATCTAGCAACATTGGGCAGGAAGGTGCACCTTGCCCCTTCTTACACCCCAGTTTACACCCAACCTACCACAGGGGGAAAGACTCGGTAGCTTTCCTTGGCAATCCCAAACCCAGAGGCGATGCTCTTTGTAATTTGGGGATTATAGGGTGAAGCCCTCAGGGGTGTGGAAAGCTGGGCACAGATTGCTGGAGAACAACTGCTGGGACCTTGAGCAACCTGGTCCAGGGGGCTGGACCTGGATGGGCTTTAGGGTCCTTTCCAACTCAAACCATTCTGTGGTTCTGTGACTAACAAATGCCAAGTGACTGTGTGTGTCCTCTAGAATAAATAAAAAAAAAAAGGCAAACTTTGCTCAGGAGCTCTCTGAAGGGAAGGGCAGGCATTGCAAGAATTCAGGAACAACATCCTTATGTGGAGCTTGGCCGCTTACATGAGAAGCTGTGCAGCCAGCAGCACATGTAAACAGGCTTTCGAGGAGGAAGTTGGTAGAAACATGTGAAAACGCTTCAGAGAGCTTGTGAGATTTCACATGCCTGCACACGGGGAATGGACCAAACTGGGCCTACCCGGATTCCTGCAGAGTTCAAGCCCTCCTGCGACGTTCAGGACCGAAGGCTCAGGGGATGCTTGGCTGGGAATTTCTGGGCAGCCGTGGGTGGGTTGTTTGCACCGTGCTTGGTCCTGCTGCTTGGACCATCTGGAGGTGGAGATGCTGAAGGCAGATGGGCTTTTGAGTGCCATGGTGGGTCCTCAGGGATAGGGCAAAGGGGCAACGTAGTGATTCAGCATTGTGGGGAAGGGGCAAAATTCAAGGTGCAAACAAATGGGATGGATGTGGCCCTGCACCTAACCCCTGAGAGCAAATCTCTGCTGTTGCATAGCGATATAACACCCAAAATAACACGGGACTGCTGCACAGCTTGGGAAATCCTCGCTGACTAGGGTTTAGTCCCAAAAACCTGCACCCCAAAACACCCCACAGCTCGCTTGGACCATACCAGCAGGCTTATGTCTTCTGGAGAGTGCAGATGGGGAGAGAAGACACAGAATTTATAGGGCAAATAATAACCAAAGCACAGCCCAATCCTCCCCACAAATGCTGAGAGCGGATATTTGCGGCCGGTCTCCCGTCACCGCCGACATGAGTGATCACCAGCCTCCTCCTCATAAGCCTTTCGAGCAACTCTCCGGAATTAAATCAGTGCATTGCATGGTTCCAGCCCCTTTCATCCAGGGATCTTCAAGTGCTTTACAAACAAGTCTTTAATTAAGCTGCCTAAACAGACCCACGGGGTATCATTACTGTATCTGCTTCGCCACCGGGGAATCAAAGGCATGGCACTGCCTTTGCGAGGAGAGGTTTGGAAACTGGATGCAAAAACCTGGTCGAAGTTCCTCCAGCAGCAGCACATGAAGATGTGCTCTGCTTCAGCACTGATTTTGTAACACTTGGGCTAACAACTTTTTTTTCCTCGCTTTGGCATGGCCCCAATTTCCTCCTCCTGCCCATGGCTGGATTAGTATTCGATGGATTAGATAGATTTAAAAAATGCACGTCTTTGACAGCCTGTCTTGGACAAACATGATCCCCGAGTACCGGGGAGCCAGGGCAGCTTTTGGGAATGAAAAGGGCTGTTTTGGCAACAAGATCTTAAAATCCGGAGGTGTGTGGTATGTTTTGAGCTGGACAAAGGGCAGGACCTGCTCCTGCCTTTTGCCCCCAGGACAGGTTTTTGCTGTGGCTCTTTTTAATCCTCTCTCTGAGAATGAAGCGTATCGGTTTTCTCTTCCTGATGCAATTCTGTTATCATGCCCCCAAGTGGGATAGAAGATCTAATAAATAAGGAATAAACAAAATCAAATGGCCTGGGAGCATGCCAGAATGGGTAACTCTGAGCCCCTTGCAAACTGGCTGGATTTAAAGACGTTATTTACCCGATGCTGTATTCGCTGCATCTCTTGGATGGATTGGCCATGCCTTGTCTGAGGCTGATTTTATTCTGATGTATAGCGGGAGAAACAGGGGGGAATCTCTCCAGAATCAGATACAAACCTGGACATGAGTATTTGTAGGGAAGCAGTTGTACCCCAAGTAGCTGCTTTCAGAAACTCCATCACGATTCTCCTCTACCCCTAGCACGATGTTGTCACCTTCTTCTTCAGGACACCCCAAACTGTCCTCCCAAATCCCAGCTCCCTGCTCACCCACCCATTTCACATCCCACTTAAACATCAAACGCACGCAGGCGGGAGGCAAGCAATGAGCCCTGTTCAAGTTACTGTTGTAAGAAAACCAAAAAACTGGTAGTTTCATTTACAAACCCAACTTCTTCCTATTTTCAGGGGTGGAAACGATGCACTTTGGGGGTTGAGCAATTCAGGTGATCCAAGCAGATACCAGATAAGCACTGCTGTGACCAGCAGCATAATCCTGGCCAAGCCACAGTGCCCAAGCCAAAACACCCAGCAGCTAAGGGTGACTATTTTGACCCCTGAGGAAGAAATTCCTGGTGCCAACACCCAGGGAGCAACACGAAACCACCTCTAAGTAGCTTATTTCAAAACTTCGGAGCAGCAGCTATGGCAGGAAATGCTGTTTGGGAGGATTTAATCAAATAATTTCCGAGAAATATGTAATAGGATCACTCGAGAGCGCTACAGAAACAGGTCCCTCCACCTTCCTTCCCAGGGTACCGTCCTGGAGCCGAAAGCCTTTTTTTGTGCCAGTCTGAGCATATTTAGCCCTCGGGTCTGAAAAACAACACAAAACTGTCTGAGAAGCCAAATTCAGCTAAACTCAGCTCCGTTCTGGCCGGTGCAAGGAAAACTGCATTAACAGCTCCTGCTTCGTGCCAATATTAATGAGACTGAGGCTTTTTAATGGCAAGAGAAATCTCCTGCAGCTCCCGCGGCGGCGCCAGGAGGAGATGAGAACTTCCCACCTGCTCGCCCACCGAGCCCCAGCACACATTTTCCCCTCTGCCATCACTGCCGCCAGCACACGCCAGTCCTGAGAGCAGCAGGACAATAAAAAAAGGGCAGGCGGAGATTCCAGCCTGACCTCAGCCAATTCCCCCCGAGTTCAAACCCCAGAGCCCTGCCCCTGCCCTGCTTTTACCCCTGGAGAGTTCCTGAGCTTTTGTTACCTTAAATCAAAGCACGTTCAGCTCCGCAGAGGCTCGGCTGTGTGACATGACCCAGAGCAAGATTTCACCTTCTCCTTTAATATTTTCCCCCCCTTCTCCCTGAATGCAGCGAAGAAATCCCCCAACTCCTCCCTTCCCTTATTCACTTTGAAAGCAATCAGTGCAGTTCCCTTCCCCGCTACTTTTCGGAGCAGTTTACGGCCATCTCTCCCCAAATTATGACTTCTGCAGCCTCTGCAGTACCCGCAGCCGGTCTTGCAGTGCCCATGCCCCCCGTGCTGTTGCACGACCCAAGGCAGCATCACCACCTCCTCTCCCAAAATGCCCCAAACCCACCTCACCGCGAAGGGTCTCCAGATGCCGATCCTTTATATGGCTCTATCATTGACTTTGCCATCTTCCATCACCTTTCACCCCCCATCTCCCCATGCCACCTCCTCAAATGGACAGCGAGGGCTCCATACCTATGGCACCTTGCGTGCTGGACCATCAGCCACGCCAACCCAAAGTTCTCCCTCGCCTGGTGGGACCCCAAAAAAGCTGCGTGTCTCAGCGCTCTGCACTCCCTTCCACAAACCCATGAGATTTGGGCACGAGCCCAGCCGGGGGGGGCTTTGTGAAGCCACACGAGGGAGCGAAGAAGGAGCGCGGGCAGCTGCATAAAGGAACGAGCACTGCGGCTCGCCGTCCTACGGATCCGTGCCCCGAGTTTTGCTGCCGGTTGGCTCCCGACACTTCTTTGCTGAACGAGAGGGTTAACAGAGCCAGATTCAGCATCCCCCTCGTTGTTTTTTTTTTTTTTTTTTTTTTTTTTTTCTGGTTTCAACTCGCCAAGAGCTTCCCGAGTAGAGGGGATGGGGGGGGGGGGGGGGGGGGGGGGGGGGGATGCGCAGCCCCGAAACGCTTGGGGAAAAAAAAAAAAGAGAGTAAAAAAAAAAAATACAGAAAAAAATAAATAGAAAGAAGAGAGATATAGGAAAAATATATAGAAAAAGAAAAATATAGAAAAGGAAAAATATAGAAAAAGAAGAATGTAGAAAAAGAAGAATATAGAAAAGAGAATATAGAAAAAGAAGAATATAGAAAAAGAAAAATATAGAAAAAGAAAAAATATAGAAAATAGAAATATAGAACAATAGAAATATATAAAAAAATAGGAATATAGACAAATAAAGTAGCAAAACGAAGGCAGCGCCGGGGGGGAGCGGCGGTGCCACTCACCGTGCAGCAGCAGCAGCAGCAGGAGCAGCAGCAGCGGTGCCCGCATCGTGCCTTGGTGCGGCCGGCCCCGACCCCGCAGCGGCTCCGGGCGCTGTCCCCGTTTGGGGCGGGCGGGCGCTGCCCTCCCCCGGCCCCGGTCCCGGAGCCGGCCCCGGTTCCCCCCCGCCCCACAACCGGGGGAGGCGCCCGGCGGCCCCGACCCGCCCCCGCCTCCGCCCCGCGAGGCTGGGGATGGAGGGGAATGGCACGGGGGGGGGGGGGGGTTGGTGGGGATGGGGGCTTTTAGGGGATTTGGGGGTTTCTTTGGGGTGGGAGGTTTGGGGGGGGTTGCTGGATAGAAAGGGGGGTCGGGGATTCGCGGAGTTTGGGGATGGAGGTTGGGTTTTTGTCGGGATGGGGGTGTGCGATTCAAGTGGAGGAATTTAGGTTTTTGGGGGGTGGGAGGTGGTGTTTTCTTTTCTTTTCTTTTTGTTTTGTTTTGTTTGTTTTTTTGTTGGGATGAGGGTCTACAGGGGGATTTGGGGTTCCCTCCTGCTACTGGGTCTGATTTGGGGGGTTCATGAAGTTTGGGGATGGAGGTTGGGTTTTCCTTGGGATCGGGGTCTGAGGGGGGTGGGATTCAAGAGGAGGGATATGGGGTGTTTTGTTGGGGTGGGAGGTTGGGAGGTTGTGGTGCCTATTTGTTTGTTTTGTTTGATTTTGTTGGGATGAGGGTCTACAGGGGAATTTGGGGTTCCCTCCCGCTACTGGGTGAGATTTGGGGGATTCCTGGAGTCTGGGGGTGGAGGTTGAGTTTTCCTCGGGATGTGGGTGTGAGGGGGGTGGGATTCAAGTGTAAGGATTTGGGGTTTTTGTTGGGGTGGGGGATTGGAGCTCGTGTTTTATTTTGATTTTGTTTTTGTTGGGATGAGGGTCTACAGGAGGATTTGGGGTTCCCAACTGCTGTTGGGTGCTATCTGGGGAGTTCACGGGGTTTGGGGAAGGAGTTTGGATTTTACTCAGGAAGGGAGCTTGCGGGGGAGTTGGGATTCCCATTTGCATTTGTGGAGATTTGGGGTATTCATCGAGATGGGGGCTGAGGTGGTTTTGTTTCTTCTGTTGGGATGGAGGTGGAGGGGAGGGGGATTCCCACCTGCTATAAGGAGCATTTGGGGGGGTTCCTTGGGATACAATTTGGAGGAGTTTAGGCTTTGCATCTTCATGTGCAAATGGGGGTTTTGTTGAGGGTTTTATTGGGGTAGATGTTTGGGGAGGATCTGGGGTTCCCACATGCGTGGGGGCAGCTTTCAGATTTAATTGGGGTTGGTGTTTGGACCTGACTGGGGGTTCCCAACTGCATGGCAGTGCATTTGGGGGTTTCATCTTGATGGGGGCTTGTGTGGAGATTTGGGGTTTTTTTTATCTGCATGGAAGGGAATTTGGGGTTTCCTTATATTTGGGGATTTGCATGCAGGGATGTGGGATTCCTACTAGCATGGAAGGATTTGACATTTTTGTCAGGATGGGTTTGGATCTGGGATTTTCACCTGTAAGAAGTTTCAGTGTTGATTTGAGATTCTTACCTGGATAAGGATTTTGGGGAGAGATTTGGGATTCCCGCCTGCATGAGGGAGATTTGGGGGTTTCAACAGGATGAGGGCTTGGGGTGTGTTTGGGGTTTTCATATGGACGGGGATTGATTTGGAGTTTTCATAGGGATGAGAGTTTGGGAAGGGGATTTGGGATTTGCATCTGGGAGTTGGTGTCGATTTGGGGTTTTCATGTGGTTGTGCATTTGCGGGTGGATTTGGGATTTCCATCTGAATGGGAGTTTGGGGATTGATTCTGGATTCCCATCTGGGTGGAAGTTATCATCTAAATAAGCTTTGATTTAGGATTCTTACCTGGAGGGGGCTGAATTTGAGATTTTCTCTGTTTGGGTATACTACCTCTGCCATCCATGCCCCCATGGTGCAAAATTTCCCTGTCTCCTCTTCTCAGGGTCACCTCCCACCTGGAGTGGGTGATGGGGAATCCCAAGGGATGCTCAGCGCAGGGGGCTGGCTTGGGGGGGCATTGCCCTGCTGGGGGTCAGCACCCCACCACCACAGTGTAACACAGACTGAATTCTTATCAAATCTTTGCACTTTTTGTGGCAAGGGGGAAAGGTGCTGAAAGTTTTTTTATCTGGTGTTCAGGCAAGGAGTGCTCACTGCAGCTAGGAGGAGACTAAAAATAAGCTCGGAGCTTTGCACCGAATCCTCCCCCTTGCACTGGCAGATCCTGCTAAACCATGAGCCTTCCCAGCCCGGACCCAAAAGTGGTAAAAATAGCCCTTGCACCCAAACGGACTCTCCAAATTTGGTTTTCTTGATGGCTTCGGTTAAAAATTAACTTTCTTTTTGTTGCAAGGTCACCTTGAGAAGGCTTCTGGCGAGGCTTGGGCGAGCTTGTTCAGCCCTCCCTACCTGCTCTGCACCTAGCAGAGGCTCCTTGTTCTGATTTTAGCTTCTGGGTCAGACCTGGAGAGAGACTTTCCATTTCCTCAGCCCAGCCTCACCTCCTCTTGCTGTGACTCTGCATTATGCAGCACCTAAAAGCCGTGAAACCGGAGTGGCAATAAATTAATGAATGTGAGGATGCACATTATTAATCTTGCCAGTATGAGAGAGGTGGTTCCTTCTCTCCCTGCAAAATATTTCCCTTTTTAATAACAGATCACATTCCCCCCCCACACACACACGCTCTGCTGATCAGCATATTTCCATGTTAACTGCCAAGACAAGGCAGTCTAGGGAAAAACCTGAGCTGCATCAGTATAACGGTGTCCCTGGGCTGGAGAGGAGGAAAGTGATGCTGAGCTCCCCAAACTCTTGTTTTAATGCACCAGCATCCATAATACCTTGCAAAAACAACCCATGGCACATTGTTCTGGGGTAATAGTGCTTGGGAGACTGGGACCCCCTCAAGATGTGGTGGGTCTTCATGTTGGGTGAGCGCAGTGGCAAGAACAGACTAGAGCAAAGCTTCCTTGGCAGCAGCTAAAAAAGACCTCGGGAGATGAAGGAAAGCAGAACGGCCTGAAAGCTTCTGGCTGCAATTAGAGCTGGCACATGGAGGTCTGCCTAAAAATCAGGTTGGCTTCAGTGGCCACTGGATTTTTGCTGCAATGGTTGTTTTGGGAGTTAAAGGAGAAGAAACTCATTTAGTTGGCCTCAGCAACAGATCCGGGCTGTGCGAGTGCTTTGGCTTTGTGCAGGGAGGAGGGAACCTCATTCCCTGAGTATTTGGTGCATTCATCTGTAGTTGCTGATCTGGACTGTAGTATTTCTCCTAAACGATCAGAATAGGCATTTTGCCACTTATGCAGAGATTTTTTTCCCTTTTCAGCGGGGGCTGCTCTCAGAGTGCCTTTTGCCTTAAGGGACATGGAGGAGTCAGCAACCACTGCAGGGGAAGGGGGTGTGCTGTGCAGGAGGCTTCCTTTGGGGGTTTTGTGGTTGTCACGGGATGTACAAATTATAACGGCTCTGCCATCCATGAGGGGTGTTATTTCACACCCAGCTGGGCTATCTCCTGAGGGTCTCCACCCTCCTCTCCTTCTGCTCCTGGCAGCTTGGCCCTCCCATTCTGCAAGCCCTGGCTGCTTGCAATAACCATGGTGGCTAAAATAGCAGTATGGTCTCCACTTCTTGGAAAACCTGCTTCATCCAGAAATTCTGGATTAAACCTCCTTTTAAAGGGGGTAGCAGAAAGGACCCATGCTGTTTCTGCTGCTTGGCAGGGTACTGGCTCCTGCCCACTTGCATCGGCTCAGAATTTGCCTCTCGTCTCTGCTCCAAGGGGAATAATTACCAAGAGGGTGTCAGATCAAGGCTATGAATCATGGAGCAGCTGAAGGAAGAAAGAAAGGGATATTTAGCATGACTGCTTCCAAAGCTAGGTGTCTGCATGTATCCTCCTCTGATGCCTAACAATCAGCTGGGAGAAAAGGTCAGAAAAAGTGCTAGCCTGGGGACCTGGGCACTACCACAGGGAGTCAAAATGGCACTGATGCTTCAGAGGAACACATAAACAAGACTTTTACACTCAAATCCATGCAACACTGCTAAGGGGGGGCTTTAACACAGGTCTCCCGATTTCAGAGGTTTTCCTAAATGCCAGCATCCCATGGTCAGGAAATTGCAGGAGGGCTTTGGCTTTCAACTTCAAACACAAACGGCATGCCTTAGAGGTGCAAAGAAACCTTTTGGAAAAATAGTTTGCACATCTGCCTGAGAAACATAAGCTAAAAGAGAAGATTTTACCTTAATGTTTATTACTAACATTATTGTTATTTAAATTCTCACAGGTCTTAGTCAGTCAGGTGTCTTCTAAACTTGATGTTGATGTGATAATACATGCAGGCTCAAATATACCTGGTTCCTAACAACCCTGCATCACAGCTAAATATTTATTTAGGTCTATGAAAAAAACAGGAAAAGGAGCCAGTTGTTTTAAAGTATATAACGAAGCTGGGATGAAACTGCCTCAGGAGGAGGAAGATTTCACATTGGGGAAATCATAAGATGCTTTCATGGTTCTCCAGAAGCTAGGGAAAAGCCATTTCTTCTGTCATTTAGAAGTAAACTGGACAAAGGAGCAGAAAGCATAATGTAGGAAATGCTCCTGTGCTTCGCAGCTCTGGGATCAATGCCCAGAGAGAGCTTTGTATTCTCCCCACCATGTAATTCCTTCTCAGCTGTGTTCAGATTCGTCATAACATTTGACTGACGTCTGCAGACATCCTTGCAATATTTACTTCTTTTCACAGAAAATAACCAAGGAAAGCCTATGCAGCATGAAAATCCTTGGGCTGAAATCCAGCTTAGGATCATTTAACTTGCCAGTAATCCGATTTTATTGAATGTCATCACCTATCTTGCTTGTGCAATGGGGCACAAAGTAATAACATTTGGAATTCAAATTTGGGATTAAGATAGGAAGATGAACAGCAGCATGCTGGTCTGATACCTCCAGTATGAGTAATGGTGTCAACAACATCACTGGGGCTCCTGGGGTCAACATCAGTAGTGGCCATTTCAGGAAGGAAAGCAATCCCAAACTAGCTACCCTCCCTTCAGCAAGAGACAAAAATACCTATGGCTTGATGTCTTCCTGACAGACAGCCTCA